ACATGTAACTACTATTAATTTTTTATAGTATCCAATAAATAAATTATACCTTATGGCTGCTTTCAAACAATTCTGTGTGTAGTCACTCAGTTTAAAGTTAATTTTAAATTAATGAGTTTAATAAGAATGTCAAATAGTGATATGTATAGTGTCTATGAATTTGCTGTGTGTAGTAAATGGCCAATAAACATAACTTTGATATTATTATTACAAGTGTAAAAACTACGAAAACCATGTACATATAGTTCCCATTTTTAAATAAATTCATAATAAAAAGTAACGATTTTAGTCTGCCATACTTGAACTCATTCACTAAAACAAGTCACTGAGCATATATTTGTAAAAAAAACTGCACTAAATATGTCTCCATTATAAATTTTTATATTTAAAACTACATACTTTTCTATAGATTTTGCAGTAAGTACCTAAATAACGTATAGAATAAATTTCTACAACATAGAAAAGTTTTAGATTAGATTAATTCTTAAGAAATAAAGCAAAACCTCTATTTTGTTACTCTAACCTTGTGTGTTATATATTTTCCTTGACAAGCTAACGTTATATTTTGAACTAAAAGTAATTAAACTTTTCACTAAAAAGTAATATTTCACATATATAAAAAAAATTTAAAACGGTTCTGCCTTCTCACATTTGCGAAGACTGCCCTGATATCTAAGCTATTTTCTTCTTCAAAGTAATTAAGTTGTTCAACCGTTGTCTATAAAGGTATCTCACATCTCGCTCATACACACAAATTTGAAAAGCAGCAGAACAAAAATTCAACTAACCAGGTATACCAAGTCCGTGTAAAGAAAACTTTTCATATCCCGAAAACGTCAAGTGTCAACTAAAATTTCTACTTTTAAAGATCAAACGTGCCGCCTCAGAGTGCCAATACTGATTGGTATATATACTGGGGTACTACTGCAAGTCGTCTCAGCTTACGGATTGTATTTCACGTTCTGTGCACCAGTTGGCATTAGTAACTGGTAACTTATCAGTCAAGGTACCTGGGCACCTATCCTCGACTAGTGCGTTTAAGCGCTCGCTTTGAAGAGATGCGAGTGGTTCAATGCGAAGACGCATTAGAAACCGTATTCTTAACCCTTCGTATCTGTGCCTTCGTAATCCTCTTTTATAAATGCGAATGGCAACTTGGCAACCATGTATGATCGACGATTATTTATGTTAAATTGTCTGCTAGAAAGGGGACTCAAAGTTCACACCGCTTGTTTTGTGAAAATTATTCGCAAAAAAGAAGCAATATTAATATGAGTAATGGTTTTGAGCATGAAGTCGTGGTTTTGGGTTGTTTTTTGATGTACTGTTTGGCTATACATAATTTGCAGCGTTATAAAATGGAAAATATTAGTAAAAAGACACATATAATTAACCGAAACAATCTGATAAACGCTTGATCAGAAAGTCTGAAAGGAGCTTTCCTATCATCATAAACTCTTCGAGGATGATTATTTGCCTCTTCTAATTTGTAATAAGATATTTAAAAAAATTATATTTGCCATCATGTCACGATCAATTTATGAAACAAAACAAAAACACTGCAATATTAAAACGTGCATCCAGTTAGACCTTCGCAAGCTCTTTGGACCTTCGCATTTGAATGCGAAGAGCAAAAACCCACTCGCTGTCAAATGCGCACCCGCAATATAAATTCGAACGACCAAGAGTAGCTACAACACGCTTTTGAGCAAATACGCATTCGCATTTAGTAAATGCGCATTCGCATTGATTAAAGCACCAATCGAGGATAGGTGCCCAGATCTCACCCCGCTACCCGGTCTTACCCTCCTTTCCCCTACTATTATAAACAACAAAAAAGATGAAATGTGATTTAAAATTTTTAAAATGAGGTTAGAAATATGTATAAGGTCCTTAATTTTCTGTAACTTAGTTTAAATAATTTCGGAAAAAACTGAATATCTACGTACTACAAATAAAAGTTTATATCTTTCACCTAGCTGACATCGTATTATTAACAATATGTCTAAAAATGAAACTATGAATTTTTGTCTGTTTTAACTGTATGCACTACATTTCAGCGACATGACCCAGAATATAAAAATATCACAATATTTTACATAGTATAGCAAAGTTCATTGGGGCAATAAAAATGAATTAAAACACAGTAAATTATAAAAACAAACATTTAATATTAACATATCTTCACTATTTACAAAAATATACAATAAAATTAAATAAACATTTGTACAATAAAAACATAATTACAAATATACAATAAAAGAAATTTCTAATCAGTCTTATACATGTATACAAATCTTAGATTGGAACTGCCCGTAAGGATTGCACTAATTAATAATTACAAAAAAGATCATTTACAGGGTGTGTTGATTGGTAAGTACCTAACATTAATGATCTCAATGCAATAAAAATATCTGACATTAAGAGTGATTTTCTATTTTTTTTTTAGAATTTATTAATTTTTTTCGAAACAGAATTAATAATAGTTGCAGAATTGGGAATTTAATAAAAATTAAAGATTCACCATAATTTATATACCGAAATACGGAGTGGCCCAAAAGTCTGGAAACGGCCAATTATCTCGTAAATTGCTAATCCTAATTGTACAAAATTTGGGGTACACCTATTTTGGGATACGGAGATTTTAGGTTTGATATTTGCAATGTTGCCAGATTTGCCGTTTCTCTTATATTATTAGTCACTTTGGTTTTTCAAATTTATCACCCTGTATATTCAGTAATTATTAGAATCTCCTATTCAATACGAGTTCAGGGTTTATACAGGGTGATGAATTTGAAAAATCAAAGTCACTAATAATTTAAGAGAAACGGCAAATCTGGCAACAATGCAAATATCAAATCTAGAATTATCGTATCCCAAAATAGGTGTATCCCGAATTTTGTACAATTAGGACCAGCAATTTACGAGATAATTGGCCGTTTCCAGACTTTTGGGCCACTCTGTATAAATTTTTTAAATTATTTTTAATTGGAAATTTAATTTTTAAACAAATGTAGGTTTTTGTTTGTTTTTAGTAATGTCGCCTTCATTTTCAGGTTAAATAGTATTGTTCATCCTCCAATCCAAATAGGATCGCATTTTCCATAGGGTGGATTAGGGTGTAAAAAACTGACTATTTTTTGTGAGACTCGTATGAAAATATGTTAATTTATCATGTTTTAAGTCCCCCTCTCCAAAGGGCAGCTCAAAAAAAATGTTTAGGGGTCGCTCAAAATTTTTAAAAAATTTCAAAATTGGAGAAAAAAAAATTGTTCAATTTTTTTTGCTTGTAACGGTAGAATTTTGTGCTCAAAACAGAAAAAATTCTCTTTTAGCTCAAAATATTAATTTTTTTTATATACAAAATTATTGCTTTTGATATTTTCGAGCGACCTTTAAATCTTAATATTAAGAATTAATCTCAATTTTTCTTTCTTTTTTGGGGCACAAAATTCTACCGTAACGACAAAAAAAATTAAAAAAAATCGAATTTTTACTAACTTTGAAAATTTTTAAAATCTTGAGTGACCACTAAAAAATGTGTTTTGAGGTGTCCTTTGGAGGGGTCTTAAAATATGATAAATTAACATATTTTCATACGAGACTCAAAAAAAATAGTCAGTTTTTTACGGTACCCCAGGGTGGATATATCGGATAACAAAAAGGTAGGTCTTACATTATATCAGACAATCTGAAATAAAAAATAGATCAAATAAATCTACTTTTAAAAAGTGCACATACAATGGCTTTTACAATTTGAAATGATGCACGGGCTTTATACTAAGGTTACCCATTGTAACCTACTTATCAGTTATGTGGTGGCACAAAGACTAGAAGCAGACAATTAGATAAGGTACAAACACTGATCTGACTAATTAGAACAGGGGCTTTTAGAAGTACGCCCGCTGCAGCAATGGAGCTACTGCTAGGTCTTTCTTCATTACTCCTTGTGGTGGTTGCGGCGACAAATGGATTTGGAAGGAAACTTTTAAGAAAAAGACATAATAAAAATGGTATTAGGAATATTGAAACAAAATCCGGTATTAATAGTGTCATCGGATAGAATGTCTAGTATCAATGTTTTTCGAAATAGGGTATTTAACTTTCTCAATATGCAATAATTAAAAAAAATCCATTTTAACAAAAATAAAAAACCTAAGCGCGTGTTGTCCGTCTGTCCGTTACGAAATTCGATACGATTGAAATTTTCTTTGTCGAATCACGTCAAAAAAATTTTCTTTCATTTGGTGAAAATCAAAAAAAATTTGTTTTCTATTTTTGTTTTCCATTTTTTGTTTTTATGACTTTTTCGAAGATTTTCCACAAAAAAAACAAAAAAACGCGTATACTACTCACAATTTGACATCAAAATTTTCCCGATATCTCAAACCCATTTCCCAGGAAAATTAAGACAAATTTTGGCTCAATTGTTTTACGGGAAAATCTTTGCTTAAAATAGAAGATAGTGCAAAAAGACCTAAAGAATATTTATCTGACTCGAGGAGACGCGTCAAATGACGTATCACATGACAGGAGGAGGGGGAATCAAAAAAACATTTTTAATTTTGAAAACATTAAAATAAATGCGTTTTAAAATTTCTCTGTAGGATGGTATCGGAAAATATGAAATTTTTCTACGGTAAAGTGCTTTTTCACCAAAACTGTTTTATGACAGAAGGAGAAAAATAAAAAAATGCAAAACTTCGCTTTTTTTAGAAATCTATGAAAATTTTAAAATAAACGCATTTTTAAAAATCTCTCTATTAGATAACGTCGGGAAATTGAAATTTTCCTACTGTAAAAATTTGGTGGTCGCGTGACATGCGACATGACTCACTAGTAAATACTTTAATATGTGTTTCATAAATATTCAAAAAAAAAAGAATGTAACTTTTTGAATGCACTTTTATGCTTATATAGACAATGTATGTGTTATCGACCTATTTTTAATTTCAGAATATTTAGTATAAGTTATGACCTATATTTTTGTTACGTCTTGTAGGAAGGTACTATTTACATGAATGTCGTTGGTTTCTGCAATAGATTTTTTTATTTAATTCTCAATAATCTTCCATTTTCTGTATATCCTCTCTTATTAACAGCTGTACCCGATTAGGTATTACGATATATATCGCTGTCCCAGTTCAAATATCTAACATCTCTAAATCAGCCATTTTGAGATAAATTACTTTAAAGAATTTTGTTTACTAATTTGTAATTTATTATTAAAATAAATAGAAAAATAAATATTTTGAGATATTTTAATGTTGAATTATTGTAATAGACCCTGCCCTTCTTGTTAAGAATACATTCTTATCTCAAACCCTAAAATTTTTGAGATGTTACAGTTTTAAACTGGGACAGCGATATTATAATTTTGTTATTCTGAAATTGGCACGAAACCATAAAATCACATTTACTTTTCTCCTGGCGCACTCTTAATGAATGAACGGGGCAAGATATCACTATTAAAAAATAACCAAAACAATTATCTCTTTGGGAGTAAAAAACACTACTCTAACCCCCGGTCGATATCAGACGATTATACAATTCCTCTTCTGAGATCATCAATTTTTAACACCTCACAGGTCACAGGGTCATTTTAAATTTTAACAAATTCACATGTTGGTCATTGTGGTATATTTAACATAGGCGCCGAAAAAGTAAAGCTGGGCGGCCTGTGAGCCATGGCGGCCAAAAAGGGTGACATCAGATGACCGCCACCCGGAAAAAGGCCGAAACTGGGGGGAAGGAGCGGACGAGCGGAGAGGCGGAGTTTTTCTAGTTCGGCTTCCTGGAGACGTTTCGCTTTGGCTCTGCGGTTTTGGAACCATATTTTTACCTGAAACAAGAAAATAATTGTTAATAGATTTTATGCTTTAAACTGTATGTATGTCATTTTCTTATTCTATGATATATTTACAAATAAATTATAAATTTTAATCAAACTATATGAAATTCATTTAATTACGAGGAGGTTTGGCTGCTATGCGAGAGGCCCGGGTTCAAATCTGGGCTGGAGACTAATTGAATTAAATCTTTTCATGTTAATTTTATTTTATAAATTAGTAAGTCATATTTTTTTTTAAATTAATAATTTTATTTTAATAAACTAAAATAATTTTTAAAATTTGTAGACTTTCGTTAGTGGGTAGTAGAAAAATATACTGTAAAACTCAAGCCATCTACGGCGTCGAGCTCAAACTTCGTCTTCAAGCGATATGACCATCATATCCACTCTAGTTGCACAAACTAAGTACTATGGTTAACATCAATAAATGATTTGAATTGAAGTAAAAATTAATTTTGTAATTTTTCTATAGCCGATGGCTACCTAATTTAATAAACGAATTGTATATTTAATAGAATAAGATACAGGATAAGTAAGGAACCACAACGATAGTACTCTCCAGGTTAAAAATACAAATATAAAATTTAGAGGAGGTTATATCTCATACATACAGGGTGTCCCATTAGTGCATAGATAATTGTTCAATATTTCAATTTGTGTTATAGACTCGCAAACAGATTTTAAATAAAAGTTATATGAATTCAAAAAAATACGTATTTTAAAAATATTTTTGAATATACAGGGTGTTGCGTTTTTGTCTGGCAAATAAAAATTTATATTTTTTAAAATGAACACCCTGAATTGTTTATTTTTTATTTTAGAATGGTCTATTAATACTGCAAGAATTTTTCTTTAAAACATTACAGGGTTGCCAAGCATCTGTAGGCTTTCATCTTAGGAGGATGCACAATGGGCTTAGTGAGGCCTAAATGCCTTGGGGGTAACCCACCCTCCACACGTTACAGATACAGATACACAAAGTTGCCAAGCAATTATTTTTTTATGAAATCAGAGAACGATGGAGTCCCCAAAATAAATATTCATAATTGAGGTAGGTTTACATTGATTTCAAAATATTTTAGCTAACGAATATTGGTAATAGAGCTAGTTTATTTTATACAGAGTGTTTTAAAACATGTCTTAAATATGGCTAATTTTAAGTTTTAAATGCAACACCTGTGTATTATTTTAGCATAAAATTCCTTATGAATTTACCTATTCATCGATACCAACTTGTTAGCCAATAACACATATTATATAGGATGTACCATCAGTACATAATTGATCTATAGCTGTTTTATTGTTGGAGATACAAAAAAATATATAATAGTTGTATGACCATATGTAACAATTATTCTTAAATATACGGGGTGGTCCATAAATGAGAGGCTGAACAAACCTATACTTTTTTAAAGCAAAACACCCTGCAGGTAGTTATATATATTTGATTGTTTTCACATGGTCAAACAATTTTAATTGACTTCATTCATTTGCTATGTTTTATATAGGGTATGTCAAAATCAGAGATTATGATTTTCTCAATTTTTTAAATGGTATTAATTAATTAGAGGTATACCATACAGGGCATTCCATTCCCGTCTATTAAAATTGTTTAATGATGTGAAAACAATCAAATCACCTGCTTTAAAAATGTATAGGTTTGGTCAGCCTCTCATATATGGACCACCCTGCATATTTAAGAATAATTGTTAAATATGGTCATACAACTTCTATATGATTTTTTTTCGTATTTCCGCAATAATAAAACGGCTATAGATCAATTACGCACTGATGGTACACCTTGTATATGTGTTATTGGCTAACATGTTGGTATCGTTAAATAGGTAAATTCATAAGGAATTTTATGCTAAAATAATATACAGGGTGTTGCATCTGAAAAAATTGAACAATTTGAACTTAAAATTAGCCATATTTAATACATGTTTCAAAACACTCTCTGTATAAAATAAACCAGTTCTATCACCACTATCCGTTCGCTTAGTATTTTATAAGTCTGTACATTAAACAATTTTGAAATCACCTAAATTACCTAAATTATGATTTTGAAGTGAGTCGTTCTCTAATTTCATAAAAAAAATTAATTGCTTGTCAACCCTGTTATATTTAAAAAAATTATAGAATTAAATACACTATTACCAAACCATTCTAAAACTGAAATAAAATACAAGGTGTTCAATTTAAAAAATATACATTTTTATTTGCCAGGCAAAAACGCAGCACCCTGTATACCTATCTAAAAGTATTTTTAAAATACGTATTTTTTAAATTCATATACCTAACTTTTGTTTGAAACTTGTTTGCGCGCCTATAACACAAATTGAAATAATAAACAATTACGCATTAATGGGACACCCTGTATATATTCGCACTGGTTTTCGCATGGGTTAGCTGTGATAGTAGCTATTTTGTAAAATTAATAGACTAGCGAGCGCCCCCGTCATCTTTTTTTAATGCATACCTACGATACGATAATTTAGAATTCCTGGAGACGATTATTTTAAAAATTTAGTATAGTTAGCAAATTCATTATAAATTTCATTATAAAGAAAAAAGAAAAGTCAAAAAAATGTTAACTTATGGATCCTTCGAAATAAAGATGAGACACTTAAATATTTTTGCACATACGACAAATAATCGGATGGCTGCCGTGATTGGACAGAAGGATAGGTACACCTCTATCACTAGTGGGCCGGCGTGAACTGTTCTACTTCTGTCTAATCAATGGCATCGATTTTTCTATACCGTTCTTATGGAGTCATTGTATAAATCTTAACATACTGTATATTAAGGAAGAACGAAATTGCAGTGAAAAATCGATGAATAATGGGAATCAATAAACGATTCTTCCATGAATTACGTCAACGTTCCTTATGTGAATTGAAGAGTCAACGACTATTTTCTTGGAAACTGTTATCGCATATCTGATTTCATTATTCTGGTTTACAACATTTTTATATGCATTACTTCACTTGTTAATTAGCTCTCTTGATAGTTAGATGTATTGTTAGATGAAATAAAACTTGTAAAATAATAAAATATATTTTTTTAAAAAACGAATTTCGAGATCAGAAAATATTTGTGGCGCAGTCAGTAGGATATCCAAGTTGTCGCGTATCGAACGTGTCAATTTTCGTTTTAACGATTGATTGGATATCGAACATTTGTCGCGATTCGTGTGTGGAGGTGTTGATATTGGAGTGGTTCCCCAAACATCGAGAAGCCCATCCATCGAGGACCAGTATAGCCGTTCACAACAATCAGCGTCGAAAGTTGGGACACAAATCGCTCAACTTTGCAAGGAGTGCAGATTCCAGGGATAGGTACTGTTCATCCTTATAGTTAGACAAGGATAATGCTCAAATTCGTGTTTTTATTGTAAGTAACTTAAAATTATTTTTTTTTTTAATTTTTAAATGTCAATTGATTTACTCGCAGACGAATTTGCAACTCTTGATTTAGATAATTTAATTGACCTTCCTATTCCAAAAAAAGAAAGCTGCTCTAGATTTAGTTTTAAAAATAGAAATAAAGAGAAAGATCTAAAATACAAAAAACCTTTAAGAAAAATGGCAGACTTTAAACCTGAATATTTAAATTGCGTACCAGAGTTCGATGGTAATCCAAACGAACTTAATAGGTACTTATCGGTATGTGAATCCCTTATTAACAGTTTTTATATTAGAGATCAGCCAAATCATTTCCAAAATACATATTTATTAAACTCTTTAATTTCTAAACTTCGTGGAAACGCAAAACTTGTTGTAAATATACAAAATGTAACCAGTTGGACATCGCTAAAAGATACTCTTTCTAGAAATTTTGCCGATCAGAGAGACGAAGCTTGTCTAAATCGCGATCTAGTTATGATGAGGCAAGATAATAACGAACAACCTCAACATTTTTACGATAGAATTTTAAATATTTTAAATCTTATTTGTAGCTATGTAGAGTTACACGAAATAACTCAAAATAGTAAATTACTAAAAAAGGATTTGTATAATACTTTAGCTTTGAAAACGTTTCTATCCGGTCTTAAGGAGCCTTTGGGAACTACAATTCGTTGTATGAAGCCCAATAGTTTAAATCAAGCATTGCAATATGTTTTAGATGAAGATAATATACATTATCTCCAAAATTTTCAAAATAACCAAAACAGAAATTTTAATAAACAACCTTCACCACAATTTAGGCAACAACAGAGACCAATTTCAAATAATCAAAATCGATTTAATAATAGAAACAATTTTAATCAACAACCTCGATATAATTTTAATGCACAAACTCCTAATGATTTCTTTACAACACAAAATTCCTTCCCAACAGGTCCTGTAAACATCCAACCACGAGTACCTAGATATCAAAATTTTCCTACTAATGCTCAAGTCTTTAATCAAAATAGAAATAATAACGTTTTTAAACCTAATCAAACACCTACACAGAATTTTTCAAAACCTACTCCAATGAGTGTTTCCACGCGCAATACATTTAACAGAAATACTCCAATGAGTACTTCTACTCGAAATGGCCCAAATTTTTCAAACTCATTTAATCGAAACCAACCTCGAATGAATTTTATAGCCGAAGAATTATTTAATGCGGAATGTCAAAATGCTGACAATTTTTCTAATTCTCACGATATTAATCTTGAACCCACTAATGTTCATAACTCTTCTTATGGCAACGAAAGATTTCATCTCGAGAATGATTTAATTGATTTTAATGACCCAGAAACAAATTTTCAGAATCAGCCTCATGGCAGACCCACGACGTAACTCCGCACGTCATACCCCTTAATAATATAAAAAATGCAAACGAATTACCTTATATATTTTTTACAGAACATAATTTAAAATTACTTATTGATTCAGGGTCTACAAAATCTTTTATCGATCCAAACGTAGCAACAAAATTTTATTCAAAATACATAAAAGACGATCCATTTATTGTTTCGTCTGTGTTTCAAAAATCTG